ACAGTGTTTCTCTCATCGACTGTCTGATGCTATCAGGGCACCTATAGGGCTTCCTTATGCACTCTGCAAGACTCTTATCTTTACACAAAGCGCTCCTCAGAGGAATATGAGTGAAGGAAATCTTTCATGGAACACCATACTGGGCATCTCCATGAACTTCCATGTGATCACTACATTTTAAGTGTGCTGGACACTTAAAGAAGTGTTAATACATCAGATGTGCACATGCTAAAAGGTGATGCTCTAATCCAGTTACGGATTAGTAGGTTGTATTGCGTGTTTTCCTTATTCCAAATTTGAGGGCCTAGCCTTCCATGAACTATAATTGTGTTTAAGTACTGTGATGCCAGCCTAAGTGTATACAATAGGCCTCTAAGCTGGCTGTGTCAGATGAAGAAAACCCAGGTCACACAGGTACAGTATCCACCAGAGAAACAAATGTTCCGGATGACACATGTACAATTTTGCTTCATACCTGATATGGCTTCAACAAGAATCATAACATTTTATACTTTAGAGACTTTCTCCAGACTTCTGCTAAATTAGGTGCTGGGAAATATACAGCAGTATTTATCTGTTTCTTTTGACTAATAAGTGGGCTGGAGCCTATCTTAGCTATCATAGAGACCGAGGACAGGTCACCAGAGCCGATAGTCATTCAAACATAAGCACAATTACATGTTTTTCAACAGCTATGGTAACTTTCCCTTTACACTTATACTCATTATTCATACTTGACTTATCTGTTTCGTTTTACATCACATTTAAATACGATGACCCTGAGAGAAAACCGAGGAGGGCTTGGCTTAAACGACCTCTAGAAGACTTTTTGAATATTAACGAGAATAGCAGTTGACTGAGGTAAGTCGTTATAATTTAGTCCAGACCCCAGTAATTGTCAGTTGTGTCCCTAGCTGGCACGCGGAAAGTCAGAAACCTTGCCCCTCGACATGTAAGTCACTGTTTTTCTTGCTGCTCTAAGCACGTTATTTCCCCCCCCCCCCTCTCCCATGTACTCCCTGTCCTTCTGTCCGTCTCTCTCCCCATCTGTCTCCCCGATTGCTCTCCCTCTACGTGCCTCCCAGGCCTGCCTCCCCACCTCTCCTCTCTCGCTCCAGCCTTTTTTTCCCCCGCTTTCCTAATGAGAGCGTGCGTTACGCAGGCATTCAGAAAACCTCTGTTAATTACATGACAAGCATCTCGTTCTGGGACACTAATGAAGAGGGATAGCGAGCTGGAGACGCCACTGGAGTGGTGGTGGTTGTGAGGGTGGTGAGGGTCAGTGCTCACCACTGGGTGGGGTGTTTGAACATGCGTGTGTGAGTATGTGTGTGTTTGAGGGGTGTGGGGATGGGGATTTTGGCGCCAGGCCAGCAGCTTATCAACCAGTGAAAGTTGGACTGTGCATCTAGTCCTCTCCCTACATCTTCAGACTGCTTGCCTTTCATCTTACTCTACTCCCATCTTTTTTTTTCTTTTAGTGTAGAACATCAGTGTTTTGATTTGTTTTTCCTAAGCACCATTACATTTACACTTATCAAAGAATGCATTAGCTTTGAACAGCTTTGACTATGACACACACAACTGCTTGATATTCTGATATCGCGAGCTGTGCTGGCCTTTTTTTTGGGGGGGGGGGGGGGGTGTAAAAGCCAAAATTCATAGTGTTAGCTTCAGCACGAATCAGTTTGTCATGGAATTAATTAAACAAAGTATTGACTGGCAAAAAAGCAAGAGCTACAGTTCGTGCACACACATAGCTTACTAATAAATCCACACACAGTGGAGTCAGAAGACCAGTGGGGAAAGAGAGCATGAGAGGGAGAGAGAGAGAAGACCTAGGCAGAAGTCCAGCGACTCAGCATGTGATTTGGAGGAACTTGCTCTGTCAAGAGGCACACTCGAACAGAAGATTGCTGTCCCGTACCATCCCTCGCGAAACGCTTGAGAAACACAAACCATCTGGAGGCTATAGTGCACACTCTCAACCCATCAAATATTGAGGATGTTTGTCTGATTTACAGAGCCTATTTAGAACTGTTTGGACAACTTGGCTGAAGGATTGGTGCCTTAATTAAAAATAATATCAAGAGCTAATATTGCCCCCGAGACCTTTGCCTTGCAGTCAACAGTGCAACAAAGACACGGTTCTGTGGCTGAAGATGAAAATCTGAGCCACAAGCACTTCTAAATGAGTATAGTCAGGCCCGAAACAAAGGCTTCTCCACATTTGTGATTTCACTGAGGTTACTGTCCCATGTGCCCC